TGTTTTTGTTTTTCATTTAAAGAAATGTATACATGTTCCTGAATTCATGTCCAGCAGTGTGATCTAATTTACTCTCTCTGGTCCAATTATGGGAGAAAGGGTGAGTAGCTATTTTGGGTGATCCCATAATTATTTTTGAACATTTTCACATCCAATAAGTAAGAGAGATGAAGATAAAACCTCTGGGGTGCGATCTAGCGCTTTACTTCCCCTGCCTGTGATTCGTTGGTGGACTTTATGATGAGATTATTGGAAGTTGAAGAGTTGCATCTTTAATGTCTCATTTTCCTAAACTAGATCGTGTAGATGCATGTGAGATTCTGTCTTGTGGCAGGGCAAGTAATCAAGGGATGGGACCAAGGAATCAAAACAATGAAGAAGGGTGAAAATGCGATTTTCACCATACCTCCTGAATTGGCATATGGTGAATCTGGTTCTCCTCCTACTATTCCTCCAAATGCAACTCTACAGTTTGATGTTGAATTGCTGACCTGGGTCAGTGTAAAAGACATCTGCAAGGATGGTGGACTATTCAAAAAAATTCTCACAGAGGGAGAGAAATGGGAGAATCCCAAGGATCTTGATGAAGTGCTTGGTATGTGAATCACCCTCTTCAAAGTTGGTCAGGCGATGATTCAATATATCATTAACTGTACTTTATTTTGCCTTCCAGTCAAATATGAGGCTCAACTGGAAGATGGTACTGTAATTGCGAAATCAGATGGAACTGAATTCACTGTTGGAGAGGGTAAACTTTGAATTTTTTTGGCCATGTAGCACCTGTGTCTCTCTGTTTTTGAAAATGACCATTTGTATTCAGGTCACTTTTGTCCTGCTCTCGCCAAGGCTGTGAAGACAATGAAGAAGGGTGAAAAGGTCCTCCTCACAGTCAAGCCACAATGTAAGAACCAATTTTGCAATTTGTTAAACTCTAAATTGGAAATCAAATAATTCAGGCAGAGGTTCAAGTCTATATGTACTTTTCTATGGCAGATGCATTTGGTGAGAAGGGCAAACCAGCCTCTGATGGTACTGGAGCTGTTCCACCAAATGCGACATTGAACATCACTCTGGAGCTGGTATCATGGAAGACAGTTTCCAATATCACAGATGACAAGAAAGTTGTTAAGAAGACATTGAAAGAAGGGGAGGGATATGACCGTCCAAATGAAGGAGCTGTTGTAAAATGTAGGCATCTTATCATGACATAGAGTTTTGTTAGTTCTATCTGTAAACCATGTCTGTCTAATGGTATCTTTTTATATGGACCTGCTAGTGAAATTGATTGGAAAGCTAGAAGATGGTACTGTCTTCATTAAGAAAGGTCATGGGGAAAAGGAAGATGATCTTTTCGAATTCAAGACAGATGAAGGTATTCATATTGGAGCTTCTGTCTTTCATCTTCATGTAATAGATATGAGTAGAAATGATATCCTAATCACCGTTGACATCGTACATCAGTTAATTGGTGAATAAGTTCACTGTAGGTTGAAATACATGAACCACCAATTAACTGATGTTCACGTCATTGTTGCTTAGTTTATGCCAAGCAACGGTGCTTAGGAGACCATTTCATTGTATAGAATGTATTTGTTTTTAATCTTTGTGCATTTTTTAACAGAGCAAGTCGTAGAGGGGCTGGACAGGGCTGTGTTGACAATGAAGAAGGGAGAGGTAGCACTATTGACAATTACACCTGAGTATGCTTTTGGTTCATCTGAGTCGCGACAAGAGTTGGCTGTTATTCCTCCGAACTCAACTGTGTACTATGATATCGAGCTTGTCTCTTTTGAAAAGGTCAGTATGTTATACTGGAGTGTAATTTCCAATTTTATCCTTAGCCCTGGGGTTGTTTTCCCAACAATTTTTGGCATATCCTTTTAGGAAAAGGAATCTTGGGATATGAACACCCAAGAAAAGATTGAGGCTGCCTGTAAGAAAAAGGAAGAAGGCAATGAGCTGTTCAAGGTCGGGAAATTTGTGAGAGCCTCAAAGAGATATGAAAAGGTAATAATTCCCAAGGGATTCTGACTCCATCTGATTTGATAGCAAAGTGGTATTTGCTGTGTATCTCTAAGTCGTGCCTCACATAGGGGATTTTGAACTCAGGCTGCCAAGTACATTGAGTATGACACCTCTTTCAATGAGGAGGAAAAGAAACAGTCCAAAGCACTGAAGATCACTTGCAGCCTGAACAATGCAGCTTGCAAATTGAAACTGAAAGATTATAAGCAGGCAGAGAAGCTGTGTACAAAGGTTTGCTCAGCTGGATTATTGGTTTCTTTTAATTGCCTTTTCAAATCATGGATTTCATTTGTTTAACAAGGAAAGTGTGTGAAGGTGTTGGAACTCGAGAGTACAAACGTGAAGGCACTTTACAGAAGGGCTCAAGCATACATGAACATGGCCGATCTGGATTTGGCCGAATTTGATATTAAGAAAGCTCTTGAAATCGACCCTGACAACAGGTAACTGCAGAACTCTCCCTTCCTCTCTTTTTGGGTTCTACTGTTGAATCTCTTGTTATAAGGTCTCCATTCTGTAATGGAAATAGGGATGTGAAGCTGGAGTACAGAGCACTCAAGCAGAGGGAGAAAGAGTTCAATAAGAAGGATGCCCAATTTTATGGGAACATATTTGCTAAGATGAACAAGATGCAGCCATTTAATTCTAATGTAAGCTCTAGTGTGGCATTTCCGATTTCCAAATTTTGAGGTCTGTTTCAATTGAGAATACCTTCTTACATATTTTCCCATAATGGTGCAGAAAACAGAAAACGGGGCATAAGGAAGCGATAGCAAGTCGGCACAAGTGCTATGCTGCTTTTATAGTTTGCTTATTAGTCTTTTTCTATTTTCAAAACTACATGGTATTTATCATTCTTGGAACGACTGTATTGTGTTTGCCAAATTTCTGACCTAAGTTCTGGTATTCCTGTATCCTCGGAACGTGTTATGTTGTCTGATTAAGGATTACATATTCATGCTCGTACTCGCCCTCTCTTTAGTGCATTGTTTGTTGGTGTCTTTTTATGAGCTGATTGTGTTCAAAACATCGGAAAGTTGGTCATGTTTGGTACACATCATGGTAACATCAAGTTTTTGTGCTCTGTCACGTGACAATGTACCATTAGACAGTTTTACATATTTATGCTCGTACTCTTCCTCTTCTGTACGTTGTTTGTTGGCACGTCTCTTTTATGAGTCAATTGTGTTCTTGAACATCGAAAAGTTGGTCAATCATGCTTGGTGTATATCATGGTAAACATCACATCAAATTTTACAAGTGACAATGTACCATTGTACAGTTTATATATATATAAAGTTTTTCAAATAATCATTTGTTGACAACATCAAGCATGATATACAAAAAATGGTGTACAAACGGCATTATTTAAAATTGGTTCCTTAGATAAAATTTCAATTTTACTTCGACTTTGGACGAATGTTTTTGAATTTATTTTATAATTTTAATAGTAGCAGGTAGAGAAATGGGGCCATGTGAGACCACTTTGTTACAATATACAGATGCATAATGAATGCAACCCTGCTCCTGGCGCCCCCCTAATGAGATGATATTTGGGCCACTGCTGCTGTCCTTGCAGTTTTTGGGAGGTAGGATGGGAAGGGAGTAATGAATATATATATATATATATATATGGTCCTGTTTAATTTTTTTTTTTAATATGATAAACTGGGAAAAAAAATGAAATAAATAAAAAGAAAATTGGGGCACCATTCGGGAAATTTGGAGCGAGGAATTCTAGCCTAGGAGCTTTTAAGGTATCGTTACTGCAAAACTATTTCGATCGTGTGCAAGTGCAACTAGCTGGATATGATTACATTAAAAGTATAATTTTTTAATTTAAGTAATTAAAGTTTTACTTTTGTAAAAAGGATTTGGTAAAAAAAAATATATGTAGCTAAAATGAAAATATAAGTAAAATTTACGGACATGCTGTGTGTACAGGCAGACTTCTGTATGAAGTGTCAGAACACACACATTGGGGGTGGGTATCGGTGTTTTTGGCAATTTTTTAGTCACGGTGAGTCTCACACACTGAGAGTAATCTGGCCAAATTTTGTAGAAAACTTTCTGTACAAATGACTTAATACTAAAATTTATGTGTTCACAGTTTGAAGAGAGGAGTAACAGGGCTTAACTTTTAAATTAAGGGTCCGTTTGATTGCAAAGATTGAATTGAATTGAATTGAATTGAAAACGAATTACAAGGAATTGAATTGCCTAGAAAATATTTTTCTGGGAACTGTAAATTATTGTGTTCGATTGGGATAATTTTTCATGTGAAAAATGTTGAAGTAAAAGTGTTTTTGGATCTCCGTTTGACTTTGTTTTACATGAAAATTGATAATTAAAGGGATATATTTTATTAGTATTGGGATGAAATTTGTTTCCATTATCAACACACAAAAAAAAACAAAAATTTCAAGAAAATCATCTATCTTTTATTGGACTTTGTTTTTCATGAAAATTGTCATTTAAAGGAAAATATTTTTTTACAATAATTCTTAGAATTTGTTTTCATTACCAATAAAAAAAAATCGAAAAAAAATGTGCTAGGATAATTTACATGAAAATTGATAATTAAAGGGATATATTTTATTAGTATTGGGATGAAATTTGTTTCCATTATCAACACACAAAAAAAAAACAAAAATTTCAAGAAAATCATCTATCTTTTATTGGACTTTGTTTTTCATGAAAATTGTCATTTAAAGGAAAATATTTTTTTACAATAATTCTTAGAATTTGTTTTCATTACCAATAAAAAAAAATTGAAAAAAAATGTGCTAGGATAACAAAGAATTTGGTGAGAATTGGAATTCAAAGAAAACATGAAAATTAGTTTAGGTGGAATTCGGGAAATTTTGCCAATCAAACAACAACAAAAATTGAAAAGATGGAATTTGATTTCAATTTTACATGGAATTGGGTGCAATCACACATAGCCTAAAATCAAAATAAGAAAACAAGCAATCAAAGCAAAAAAAAAAATCACAAAATATCAGTCAATCCTAAATTCTCATTTTTCCCAGTGACGTTACTGAAGAACCCTAGCCCTTACTTCTCTAGCCGTGTCTTCCTCGCGTCGTCTCTAGCCTCTCTTACCGTTGAAGTTCTTGTTCACAGTCTCTCTCGCCATCTCTCTCTCTTCCTCTCAAGCCTCAAGCCTAAGGTAATTTGAGAATTTCTCAAAACCTTCATCTTTTTCAATCTACATGCTATCTTCTCTAGGTTTGAATGTTGCTACACTAATGTTTTGGCAGTGCAGTGGGACTAAATTTTGATATAAATATATGGAATTACTCCAAGTATATGAAGAATGGAGCTTATTTCGTTCAAAAACAGATGCTTATTGTGATGGAAAAAATAGTTTGGTTTGGGCTTATGATTATGATATATTTGGAATGATAAATTATTTAACAGAGTTTACAACATTTGAGGCTCTATGTTTATGGTCTATTGTCAATGCGTAGAATAAGTAAGGCACTCTTTTTTCCACAGAATTCACCAAAATCACATCCTTCTATTCATTGTATATGTTTTTGTAATGTTGGAACACAGTGTTGCACTTTATTTCCCCTTCTAGAACAGGCCAGAAATTTTTATTGATGAGCTGGCCTCAAAAATTTATTAAAGAAAAAAATGTCAGTATTTCCAAACTGACATAGGTAAATAGAATTGACCCAAATTCAAATTGTTAAGCAACTTGCTGATTTTCAGTTAAAACTTAAAACTGACAATTTACTTACTGTAATTAAACATTTAAGTTAAGCCAAACATGATGTGACACTGGATTTCACAAATATTCAGTTATTCACTTCGATAAACTCAATATTGCAACTCTTCAGACCTTGCTCAGGGTTTTTGTACTGTCATAGATTACCTGAGCGCGTTTCCACTGGCCATACATTCATGGAGGTCAACGGCAATGGTGTAATGGTGAATGAGGCGTCCAAAATCCAAAGTGAAATTGAATCTTTAGAGGCCAAAAAGGCCCAAATTGATCTTCGAATCTCTGCTCTTCGGGCGCAACTCAATAGTTCAAATTCTAATTGTGTAAGAAAAGAACGAGCAACCAATACCAATGATTCACCCTCAACAGGGGTATCTTCCAATGGCCAATTGTCCGCCAATATGATCTATAGATACAGCCGGCATTTGTTGCTTCCTTCTTTTGGAGTTGAAGCGCAGGCCAATTTGTTGAACTCTTCTGTGTTGGTTATTGGAGCTGGAGGGTTGGGTTCACCTGCTCTACTGTATCTCGCAGCATGTGGTGTTGGTACGTAGTTGTAGTGTGTTTAATTTCACACAGTTATAATGGACTAGATTTTAATTTTTTCTTCTAACTTAATACTCTCAGTTACTATCTAATCTAGCTTCTATACTTCCTATTTTTTTTTTTTGCCTTTCTTTTCTTTTATGTTTGCTTGTGGGGTAGATTAATTAATGTTTTAATTTGGAAAATATTTGCAGGTCGTATGGGTATTGTCGATCATGATGTGGTGGAACTTAACAATCTGCAAAGGCAGGTAAAAGGGGAAATAGGAATCCAAAATCTGGTTTATATTAGTGGTAAAGTCACTGGTTTCAATGTTTTAGAAATAAGATGCTTTGGAGAAACTGTGATATTCCAATTTTAAAATAATCTTGAGGACTTCAAGATATACATGAAACTTAGCTGTTTAGTTCAAAATAAAATAAGAATCTTTTCAAGATAAGAACTTTTAGTTTGAGAACTGATATTATAATGTACATAAGGTAAAGGTAACATCCTCTTTGTTTTTTTAGCTTTATTTTCTTTTTCCTCTGTTTTCTTTTTTGTACTTTTTTTGCGGGTGAAGGGGTGAAGGTGGGATTAAGCTGTCATAATAGTGATGAATACGAGTTAATGTACTTATTTTTGTAGGCTATGTTATTGAAATTGGATCGAGTTATTCTATAGGAAGAATAAAATGTGGCATAAGCATTTTCTTTTCCTTATTTTTTACCTTTTGGATTATCTGAGCTGACTCTTGAAAAACTGATAATCCCACTGCAATGTTGTTCTGCTAGAGCAAAGTACAGACTTTATAATGTAATGCACTGCAACATAGCCCCCATTATTTGAGATTTTAATTTTTGGAATAGCATTTTTTTTAAGAATGTGTGGTTAAAGAAGAAAAAGTTTTTGGTTTACATGTAATATTATCTTATTGGAGAATGTGTGGTTGATAAAAAGAGAGAGGAAAATGGACTTTAATTTTAATGGGAGCCAAACAAGGGTATAGTAATGTTTAACGTTCTTTGCTTGCCCTTGAGAATCAGTTTATTCATTTTCTTCAACTGAGAAATATTGGATAGGTAATTTGGATCGTTATGAAGCTCCATCTATTGATCTCCGCTACTTTTCTTTTTCAGATAATCCATACTGAAGCAAATATTGGACAGTCAAAAGTAGAGTCTGCAGCTGCTGCTTGTCGTGCGTATGTCACTGTTCTGCATTATCATTTTACTGCAATTAAATGCCATTTATTTTACCTCTGACCTCGCTTGTGTCTTTAGGATTAACTCTACCGTCCAAATAGTGGAGCACAAGGAAGCATTCTGCATATCCAATGCTTTGGAGATTATGAACAAGTATGACATAGTTGTAGATGCAACAGACAACGCTCCTAGTCGCTATATGATAAATGATTGCTGTGTTGTGTTGGGAAAGGTATGTTGTTTACTTCTCTTTTGACAGAAAAGTGATTTTAGAGACACGCACTTCTATGAAAATCCATGCACTCAACATATTGGTTTGCACATCATGAAAATATCAGCAAACTTTCAACCAGGAAACACAAAATCATGTATTGAGCAGTAGCAGTATAGTGATAATAATTTCCTCGTGCAAGTGGAAAGGAAAGAAGCCTATTTATGCTTCTTCTTCTTCTTCTTTTTTTTTTTTTTTTTTTTTTTTT